ATCCTAGGCACATAATCATATTATAAATTAGATTAGGAAGCAATACCAAACCACCTAAACTACTCCCTATGGCCGGCCACCTAAGGGGAGAGGCCCATCATGGGTCTTTCCTCCTATGTTCAATCTAGGCCTCGTAGTGGGACCTTACATGATCCATTCTATGGGCTTTGTCCTATTTTACTAGCCCAAATATCGTTATTACCTCTAATTATGATATAACGACGACCCAAAAGAAAGAACTTAATAATCTTCATAATTCGATCCATTATATATTTAGTAATTGCACTTAACGAAGACATAATTCTTTTAATTTGAAAAGTAGACATCAAGATGGTGATCAAAAGAGGTTGTGTGAATACTGCAGAATTCCAAATGGTGCAATTAAAAAACGGAGAAAGTATCATACAGTATATATATATTCATACAGTATAATTTTGAAAAAAAACAAATACCATAGTGACACCGAATAGGTTTATTTTGATTCATTAAAAAAAATAACGCCTTTAGTCAGGAAACAAAATTAAAGGAAAAAAAAAACAAACAAAGGGCATCCCAGCTCCTCCTCCTTCCCTTTTCATCCCAAATTTTGAAGTAGAAACCCAGAAATTCAACTTATTCATTCACTCCCCAGGTACATAATCATCATATTATATTCTTTCATTCTTACAATTTTTGATTGATTGCTCTTGCTCGACTGCTGAAGAACAAGACCTAGAATTTCAATTACGATACATGTCACAATGATATTATTCCTTAATTTGATCTCTTGTTTTATCAAAAAAATATGTACCAATTTCATGTTATAATTCGCCTTTTTAGGCCTTGGAATTAGGGATTTAGGTTATAATTCACCGATTGATTGAATGCCAATTTTGGAATTTTTTATTTGTTTTACAGTTGAATGTGTATTTTTTCATGTTTTGTATATTTTTTCTCTTTTTTAAGTTTCTTACTTGTTGTTGTATTAACTTTAAAGTAGGATTGTGTGTAATTTGGTGTCTCATTTTTCCATTTTAAACTACTTTACAATGAGAATTTATAATATTCATGTCTAATCATTTTGAAATTCTATGCAATGTGGTTTTATAACCCAATAGATTGTTTCTCAATATTAGCATTTCAAAGTTGTTTGCAATGTGGATTCTAACCTGATTAATTTGATTCCCAATATTCATGAGCATAGTCATTTTTAATATTTTGGTGGCTCGGGGCAAAATGATAATACTTTTGTTGAATAAATCATCTGTTTTTATAGTTATAAATATTTATTAATTTGTTAATTAATAAATAATTTTATGTAATTTGTTAATTACTTCATCCGTTATTTTAATTGCATTATTTACACTTTTCCACTATTCACATTCCACTTTTGAATTTCTTTTGTGATTTATCCGTTAGAATATCATATTTTTAAATAGTTATATGTAATAATTTATTGCATTCGCCCCTTAATTTCGTGATTAATTAATTTATTACATGGTTATGACACACATAAAATGTACATAATTACACTTCTACATTTTAATCCTTCTTTGACTCAACTCATTCTATGAAAGAGTAATAAATTTATTTACTTGTCCCAATCTATAAACATGAATGAGAAATAAATAATAATCATATTTCAGAAATAATAAATGTAGCTCTTTTTTATAAAATTGAATTAAGCTTACATTAATTTTTTCTTGTTACTTATAATTAAATAATTACATGATTCAGTTCACTTTTAATAAATGTATCATGTCATAATTAAATTATCACTTCTTATCATGCTTGTAAACAAGTCATTAAATAGAATTTGCCAAACAATTCAAGAATCATAATCTTCTTATAATGATGTCACTTCAATTTTCAAAGTATATAAGATACCTAATATGATAATATGCGAATATTTAAAAATTCATACATGCATACACACCAAATAAAATTATGGTGAATAGTCACAACCACTAAAAATCATCTCACTCGAATCTCCTATATCGTAAAAATAATTATTGTCAAAATAAAATTGCATAATTAAAATAATCTAAGCCTAAAATAAGAAAAAACTTCTCATGTGAGAAATAAAAACTTGTAGGAAAACTTCTGAAACGACTACTATCATCAGTAACACATACACATCTAAAATTCCAATTCAAAGTGGAATCTCGATTTTGATAAATTTGATATAAATTATTACTATAAAAAAATAACATTCATTAAGATATCTTTATTTAACTACAATTATAATAAATCATTTTATAATAAATTATTTTACAATAAATTCAGACATTTAATGCAAGAAAAATAATCCCTTTAATTTTTAAAGTGCGCATCACTTTAATCGGCATAATTTTTAGGAGATTGACTTGAATTCTATAAATAATATGCACAAAAAAATTGATACATTATATAAAATTTCATAGTATCAACTAATTATAATAAATATACGATCAAAATTATTAAAGGTAAAATAATGTTATGTATCAACAATGTCTATTAAAGTGTTTCAATTACTTTAGGATGATTTTTTTTTTTTGGACAAAAACTTTAAGATGATTAACTTTGTAGGGTACCCCTCCGTTTCTTTTTATTGGTTATTATCAGATTTTAAATACTATTCATAATACTTCCTCCGTTTCCTTTTATTGGTTATGTTTAGATTTTAAGCATTATTCACAATACTCCCTCCGTCCCAAAATATATGATACGTTGGACTTTTTTCACTATTCATGTATTAGTTTTGATCATAATTTTTTTCTAACATAATAAAATATATTTTATCATAAAATATGTTGTTAAATAGGCATATATATAAAGTTTCAAAATATAATTTTAAAAATAATTTTCATTAATATATAATTATATACAAATAAAGTCAAAGTAGTGTATTGACATGTGGGCAATGTTGACTGTGTCATGTATTCTTGGATAGAGGGAGTATTAGATAACATTCAAATTTACTCACAAAAGTAAAAGAGTCATGTGAGATCATTGTTGATTCGTCTCAACGAATGCTCTATTAGTACTCAATCGTTATAATTTTAAAAAGTCTGTAATGAATAATAATCAAATAGGTGTATTGACAAACGTGTAAAAATCAAAACGTATCCAATAAAAAGGGACGAAGAGAGTATTATACTTTAGATATAGGGTAATTTTGTGAAAATTTAAGAAAATTTTACCAACAACTACCATTATAATGACTACTTTGAGAACAACTACCATTTATTTATTTATTTATTTTTGTTTCCGTAAAAAAAAATCTAAAGAAATCTACCATAAAAACCTTGAGTAACACAACTACATTTAATTTCTTGGCAATAATCTCCAATTGAGGGAGCTAAAAATCAGTCGTTTCAACAACGAGGGAAGGGAGGAGGGGCGGTTTCATCGACCTGAGAAGGGAGGGGCTATTTGGGGATGGGGGATGGGGGGTGGTTTCGATGGTGTAGTGGGTCGCCCGAGTGGTTTTAGGGGTAGGGAGGGGCTGACCGGCTGTTATCGGTTGTTAGGGGAGGCGGGCGGTCGAATTTCGGTCGAGCTGGGGGTTAGGGCTAAGGGGAGGAAGGATAGATAGCTGGTTGGGAAGGGGTTTTAATTATTTTTTTTCTTTTTTAACAAAAAAAATTTGGACCAATTATGTTGCGACACATCACACATGACTTTTACAAAATAAAAATCACCCTTTTTTTAAGTCATTGGTAAATCGACCTAGTGGAAAAAAATCAATTTAAAAGTTCATAGTTCTCCCTAATAAATGTAAGTTGGGATTATTGAGAGTAAATCGCTAAAAGTTCGGATTAATAAATTAAAGTGAATTTTCTAAAAAATAAAATTTAGATTTTGGAAGCACCTAATATAATAGATCGAAAAGCGAAGACATGTCGAATTCAGGGTTACTTGGAGGATGAAATGGAGTCGTTTGACTCTTGGAATTGCCCTTTTTAATCTCCTTAGTTTTAATAAAAATGTGTTTCTTTAATGGAAGTGGTGTTACTTATATTTGTTGAAGGAGGATGGTAGTAGGTGTTGTTAAACCCATTTGTATGTGATAACGGTAAAAGTCATTGCAACATCATGACATTGTATGAGAATATATATACTCCCTCTGTCCCACAATATAGTTTCTGTTTTCCTATTTTAGAGACCCAAAATGTTGTTCCTGTTTCTATTTTTAAATAATATGTAAAGACCAATATATCCTTACTTTTACTTTATTCATTGAACTTCCTAATTTACCCTTAACTTATCCACTTGCATTGTACTTTTTTCACCTTCTCTCACTAATAATTGTACTCTTCACTTTTTTCCCCTTAAATTATCCACTTGCCTTGTACTTTTGTCTAGCTTTTTTCCACTTCTCCTCCCATTTCTTAAATACCGTGAAAAAAAACAATATGAACTATATTATGGGACGGAGGGAGTATAAGATATGATTTTGTCGGATCGCAAAGAAATGTGATTGACATGTATGAAGCATAGATCTCAAGAGGATTTTATCCATTTGAATTATTGGAGTCCCTTAGGGTAATGTATTGATTTTGGGTTGCCTCCGTCATTTTAGCAACATTCATAGACTTTTAATTTTATGTTAGAAAATTCCTTGCACAACATGAAACATCATCACCAACTTCCCTCGTTCTATCAATAGTCCCATCGCATGTTTAAATGTATATTGGTAAACCTTATATGCGTTGTCTTCACTCGTTATAATAGCTTAAAGGTAAATATCGTTAATGCCCTTAATTGGTATTGTGTAAGGGCTTCTTATGCCAATAGTAACTTATGTTACTTACTGTCCTTTCGTTTGTTGTAAACTCAGTTTAATTAATGTAATTTTCAGTTGTTTTTTTTTTTTAAAAAAAATCTAAAAACCTTTAAAAGAATTGATACAAGCTTTAGTGTATGAAAATATTTAAAAATATTTAAAACATGTTTACATAAAACCTTTATAAAGCCCACTAAACGATCATATAAAGGCCCACCCCGTGTATTTATCAGACGGATCTAACCCATATTATAACTATGGCGGGTCATGGCTTTTAAAGGCCTCCATTCCTATTTCCTGCCTCTCTGAGTTACTTCGTATTTCATTGAAGCGCACTCAACGTTCTCCATTGAAGCGTTCTCCGTTGAATCTAATTCTTGTATCCCCCATTGAAGCAGCTCCTAAGGTAAGTTGTTTGTTGTTGTTATCATCATATCAATTTCACAATCTAGGGTTTATATTTGATCTAATCTAATTAAATTATCAGTGCTTTAAGTTTAGGGTTCGTAAATTCTTAGATTATGAAACATCATATCCAAAAGAAAAGAAAATTATGAGCGTAATTTGATTATTGAATCAAATATCCCTAAAATTATGTATTTTTCGAGATAATTCAATATGAAATCAAATCTCTTTTCCCTGGGCCTAGGGCGGCCGCCCCTCCTGCCCTGCCTCAGGGACGGGCCTGTTGATGAGTTAACAAATTTCAGTTTTTCGTATGATTCGATATCTCTGTCTTGTCCTTGACCGTCTTCCTTCCTTCTGATTTGATACGCAGCTTACTTCGTTGCCTTCAAGCTAGTCGAGGATTGGAATTTTCTGACTTGTCTATTCCTAGAAATATGCAGGTTAATTTCCTTATAGCTTTAACTATAATCTTTCTTTTTAGATGATTTCATGCCTTCCTCCTAGATTGATCCATTATGTCTGTTTAAGATTATTAAGTAGTTAATTTGTCATGATTTGAATCCTGATTGATGCTTAATACCAATTCGACACCATCCACAAGGTGTATCAATGCCCATCTTTTTCTATTTATCTGAACATGTCAGGACTCTCAGGAGATATATAGGTGCTTTCATGTAGTTAATGTATCTTAATATGCGGTTTATTAAGTAGCTATTCAATTTATATCATCTTAGCTCTCAAGCTATGAGTCAGTAGCTATTAGGAATATGTAGTGCCATTTGATTCTATTATAGCGCTTCATTAAAGGCCTATGGACCCTATACCATAGTGTGAAAAAATTTGTAATATTATGTTTCATATGAAAACATAATCCTGAACTTTCTAGTTTCTATATGGTGCTTTTAGCTGTACCTGAGTGGCGGAAAAGATGTGGTAAACTTCTTTTCTCTCCCGAGGCCTACACTGAATTTATAATAGATGGGAAACACTTGAAATATGAGTCAGTGAACTCTTAAGAATTTTTGCATGTAACGAACCTTAAGAACCCCTAAGATAATGGCCTTTGAGAAATCCGGCATAATTTAACACCGACTTCTTAGGATCCTTATCCATGATCCATATTGGGGGTAAGTTATGTATAAGATAAAACTGTGATGACTCCTTCAAAGATAATTAAGATAGATGTCAAAGTGATAAATCATTCATGGCATTTTGAGAAAATGTATGTACTCAACTTAGGAAATTTTGATCCACCAATAGTCATTTTAGCTTTAGCTCAAATAAGCAAGGAAGATGGAATGGTCAGGGACAATAAACAGAATATACAATATAGTGTTTTTATCATCATGCATCACATGTGATTTTTAGTTCAATAAGACAAAGGGAGGATTCCATTGCCTAGTCTTATACCTTGCTTGCTAGAGCTATTGGAAGTTATGCTTCTTGAGAGGGAATTGCTCTCCTAGTGAATTGGATAGTTTGTACGTTAAACCAATACTTAGGGTCTTAGGGACCTTCCTTTTAATTTTTTTATTTACCACAGATGTAAATAATGTTTTCTAGGTGCATTGGAAGTTATTTTATAAGTCGTGTGAAAATGATATTTGCTTACCAATTCTATGGTTGGTTTTGATGACCATGAAAAGGTAGACAATACTTATATGGAAAAGATGGAGTGTACTATAATATGGTTTTAGCAGATTATTTTGTTGATATTTTTTTTAGGGAAAGCTAAGACAATACTAAAAGATGAAATTGGAATTTGCAAAAGAAGGATAAATTTGTTTTATATTGTTTTATAAAGAGGTGAATGGTAGTAGAAGGTGTTTTACTCATTTGGCTGAATGGTTAGAGTTTTCACTGTTGTGAAAAACAAAAAGACAATGTTCGCTATTGAGTGGTTGAAGGCTCTAGTGGTTTAACTATGGCCTTTTTCCAGTAGTATCCAGATTTGATCAAGCTAGGTCTTTTTGACAGTTATATGATAGTAGGATATTGGGAAAAAGCATGAATTCAATTTTCATTTTCCTATTACCTATGAAGGATAGGTTTGTCATGTTTAGAGACTACCTCTTAATTTACTTTACTAGTGCATGCAAAATTGTCTCAAAAGCATAAAGAAGAAGGATTTGAGAGGTAGAGAAAAAGGCTTAGGGAGGCACTTTTTGATTACTATGTGATGTTGTGGAGGGAAGATAGATTTTGGATGCGGCGCTCATGGAGAAAATGAAGCTGTGGATGAGGCTCATTTTAAATCCTGTGAGGGTTAGGATTTTTTGTTAATTTTTGATAAAGCCCGTGATACATAAAGGTAGGAGTTTGAAGCCTTGAGAGGAAAGGATTCAGTGGGAGGCGTCTGTCATTTCCGTTATGATTAATGGGGCTCCTAAGGAATGATTCTCTTTTTCTAGTGGTTTGCTAAAGGAAAATCCTAGAATGTGGTTTAGACCCATGTTCTGCAAATCGGATTTGTGTGTTCCACAGTGCTTCCAATTTGCTGAACCCTTCGACCCAGTTCAACAAACCTATACCTCACATCTTTTGTCTTATTATTTACTATTTGATTCATCCCAGACATTCTCAATTTGCTGTGGGTAGCGTTCTGCATTGTCGTTCCCATACTACAAATTGTATCTTACTGCACACCATGTAACATTGGTCCAGAGGATTGATTAAAGATTTTAAGGTGGATAGAAAGGTAGTTCAGGTGTTCTAATTGCAATATGTTGATGATAATAACTGGTTCATGGAAGCTGGTAAAGGCACTAGTGTGCTTCATGACTTTGAGGTGGGCTTTGGTTTGTGAAACTATCTCTCAAAGTGTTGACTGTAGACTAAAAGGGATCATTCTGGAGAGGTATGTACTATGTAGCTTTGGTTGGGTGTCAGGGTGACCTTTGAGAAATCTAGGCTTGCTGCTAGGGAGTAATTCGTGTTTGGAAGTTTTTAGGAACCTATAATTTTAATGATTTCTAGACGGCTAGCTGGGCTGAAAGAGGTGTGCTTCTCACTTGGCAGCAAGATTGCTCTTATAACTATACCCTTTAATTTTCTATCTTTATTTGATGTTCCGGTCTCTATTGCACATAAGATTGAGAGATTGATGAGGGGTGCTCTGGTCTTGGTGAGGAGGCATGGAAAGTTGAAATTTGGTGTGTTGTAAATAGGAGAGGGAGGTTGGGTTTAAGAGTGGTGATGGCAAGCAGATTCGTTTTAGGGAAGGTGTTTTTGAATAGAAGACCAGTCTTTTAATGTCACCATCTCACGCCTGTTTTGCTTATCTACTCTAGATAATTCTCTATAATCATGGTTTTATTATTGTAATTTGCGGGACTTACATTTCAGGTTAGCAATGATATGTCGTCTTTTTACATTATTGTTGGAGTGTATGAAGAATTTTAGTGAATGGGTAGGACATTCTACTGTGGTCCCCCCACCCTCCCCCCACCCCCCGGATTGTACCCTAAAATACCCTGTGTAACCACTACAAAAAATTATCTGGAACATAAGGCTCTCCTTAAGGTGAGGGCTTTTGTGTGGACACTTTCTTTAGTCAAGATCAACATAATTAAAATACTCCAAAAGCAGAACTCTGTTATTCTTGATTGATGTGCTTGCTTTGTCAAGCTAGATATAAGACTTGCTCGCATTTTTCCCTTCAATGTGAGTTAGCTCAAAGAAGACTCTTTGTGGTAATTAAGGAGACTTGGGTTTGCCCTTTTTAACTTGAAGATTGGCTACAAATTCGGTGTGGGGGGTTTGGAAGGTTTGAGAATAAACTGTTTTGGAGGAATCTAATGTTGTTAGGTGGTTTTGTTTTCTGTGACTAGGCTTTCCCTAATGATTCAAAAGGAAAGATACAAAGTAATTTGGCTAACTTTCAAATTGATTATTTTTAGGTTCCTTGTGAGGACACTTAGTCCTCCAATTGTATACTGTTCTACTGCTTTGCCCTAAAATTCTCAACTCTAGAGTTTCAAGTAACTGTCAACTTGCAGTAGTCATGGTTCCTCAGTCAAGATTCACAGACAAAAAAACAATAGCGATTTGATTCTTGCATGAATTGAAAGCAGCGTTTCTTACAAGGTTTTAGGTTTAGCCTACCAAGCTCCAAAAGTGATAGTTTGAGGCTATCAATCTCCTAGTGGTAAGCATAATGTACAAAATAGCTGACTGCCCTCTTTCATTCACTCCTCTCTCTTATATACAATTAAAAACAGTAGTTGTGTTTGTTTGTGTGCTTGTACAGCTCCTGTTTTTGGTGCTGCTACTTCTGTGGCAAGAGTTATAAACACTTACCCGTTACCAATCCTTTTTGGCATCCTTCCTCAAACCTCTTTTTTTCGTTGGGGTTTGGGTACGGGGATGTGAGAGACTTGTTTTATCAGGATATTATTAACATCTCACATGTCAGACTGTCATCATGTATCTAAAAATTGTTTTATTATGAAGCGTGTTCGATTCTCGATTTCATCTAGTCACTTTGAAAGGCTAAAATCATATCACCTAATCAAAAGAAATACCTAAGTCCTCTAACTAATGTAAATAGGAAAGTATGGTCGAATCCATAGAGAAACGACTTTTTTTTACTCTAATCAATTTTTATAATGTAAACTATTAACAAGAAAAGGTATGTGATTTGTAAATTAATCTAAGGAATTAAAAAATAAGGCAATAATTAAACTAAAGCGATTAAAATTAAGCAAATATCAATTAAATAAAAACCTTGGGCATATGTTCACTAATGAATAACATTCTGGGATGACAAACGATAATCAATTATCAATGCATAAATTAACCAGATTATAACGGGCTTCCGCAACTTATTGTAATCACAGAATTAACCTAAGCGGTATTAAATCGCGTCTCCCGAATTTTGACTTAATATTGCATAAATTAATTCCATCTATTGCAACTAGCCTTAATATTAAATCTCATTTTCCAACTTTTGAATTTATATTGCGCAACTCATACAATTAAACTTGGCCAAATCTAATTGTATAGCATTACAACAATCAATAGGTAATTAAGCTAAAACATTAACAATTAACAATAACAGATCATCCCTTCATATTATTCATAGACCCCCGAGACCTTAGATAGAAAACTACTCACGCAAAATTAATTCTATACTAATCAAGACAATTAAAGAAAACATAACTAAACCAAGAAATAAAATCACGAGAAACAAAAGGGAGAAATAATTATCGAAAGAAAGGGAACTATGATTTGCATAAACGAACAAAGAAAAATGTTGAGAGAACAATCAACTAGAAAACCATAAAAACTAAAATCTGAAATTAAGCTAATGGAAAGACGTCCTCATTACACTTAGAAAAACGTATTTATACTAAGGGGTTGTTTGGTTCGCACTAGGGAATTGGAATGGAATGCAAAAAGGGAATGAAGGAGAATGGAATGAAACCCTTTGAATTTAGGGTGTTGTTTGGTGAAAATGGAGGAGAATGGAATGAAACCACCATAGAACCACCACAGCACTACCATTTCACCCCTTCATTAGTTTCCACCTTCTCCAGCCACCACACCGCCTAACCAACACCACACCGGAATCGGCCGTCCCTCCTCTGACCTTCGCCGCCCCTCTCCCGACCTAGTGAGGTCCGTCGAACAGCAACCCACACCGGAACCCTTCTCATCCTCGATCTCAGCAATCCTTCCTGACCAAAACGCAGCTATCGAACTTCCCCAACAACACCGAGGGTTGGTTGATAAGAGGACCCATTTTCTGTGGCTAAATCAACCAACCACTGAACCTCCAACCCATGATCGGAGCCTCCTAGAAGGTTCCGATCTATGCCATTGTGGACCCCAACGAAGGTGATGCGATCATCGAAGAGGGTCGGCGAGGTGCGGCCGACGATCTAAGTGGAGGGGGAGGGTTATGTGTGGGTGAGGGAATGATTTTCGGGTGAGAGGAAGGGCGGCGAGGGTCGGGGGATGGCAGCGACATTCTGGCGACGTTCCGGCGAGAAGTGGGTGAGGGGGGTTGATGTGGGTACGGTAGAGTTTGAGCAAAACTATCGGAAGATCCGAAAATCGGATGATTCGATCCGTATCCGATCCGAAAATTATAGATATCCGATCCTGATTTTTCGGATATCGGATATCCAAATTTTGGATTTCGGATATTCGATATCCGAAAAAAATCGAATATCGGATATCCGATCCGATATTTGAAAAAATTACCCATTATAAATATGCCAAACCCTAAAACTTTAGACCCTCAATCCACTTCCCCATACCCCCACCCGCCTCTCTTCTTCTCTTTTCTCTGACTTTCTCTCTCCTTTCCTCATCTTTCAAACTACCTCCATGGCTCCATCCTTTTCTTCCCTCATTCTCTAAACTTTTCCATCTTCTTCTTTCTTTTTCGTTCATAACCACCACCACCCTTCCATAAGCACCACCAGTCCACCACATCACCACCTTTATTCTCTCTCCTAACCTTGACCACCCCACCAAAGCTAACCCCGAACCCGACCACCCACATAACCCCCTAACTCCAACCACCCCAGCCACCCTGAAACTCCGACCACTAACCAATCTGAAACCTGAGCACCGTACCCCAGCTACCCACGAAACACGCCCCCTATTTCCTCTTCAATTCGAAACCCGTTGATGTTGTTGTTGCTTGTTGATGTCGTTGATGTTGTTGCTTGCTGAGTTGCTGATGTCGTTGATGTATGGGTGAGAGGGGGTTTCAATTTCGGGTCTTGGTGAGAGGGGGTTTCGATTTTGGGTCTGGGTGGAGGGGGTTCAGATCTGTGGTGGGGGTGATGGTGTTGGCAGCTAAGGTGGGGCTGGTGGTTTCGGTTCAAGTGGGGTGGGGGAGGTTGGTTAGGGATGAGGGTGAGGTGGTGAGGGGGGTTTGTGTGCCAAATTAAGGTTTAAATTTGATAAATTGTGGTAGACAGGATTAAGTTTTGGGATTTAGTTTAGCAAGATCTGGAATTTGTTTTTGATTTTATTAATATAAGTTGTAATTATAAGAATTTGATTGATTTGGGTGTCAGTGCATTTGAATTTCTGCAATAATGTAGGATTTTATTGGTGTTATTGGGGTTTTTTTTTCAGAAGTTTAAGTTTAGTTCTTGATGGGATCTGATTGAACTTTTTTAGTTCAAGTAAATCAATGTAATATTACTATTAGTTGGCCTCTACAACAAGTAATTTCAAAAAAAGAACAAATAATTTTTGCCAAATAATTAGAATTTTAATTGCATTATAAAAAGGGTCGGATATTGGATATCCGAGTTATCCGATCCGAAAATTTCGGATATTCGGATATCGGATATCAAATATCTGGATTTTCGGATATCCAATTCGTGCTCACCTTTAGGGTACGGTGGTGGTTGGCGAAAGGGAATGGGAAAGGCTAGGGGGGGTGGGGAATGGGAGTAGAAGGTTTTTAGGTAATCAAAGGGGAAAGGGACCGATAGAAATGGAAAAAAAAAACAAAAGGAATGATTCCCATGAAATCCCATTCCCTTTGATTATTACTGCGAACCAAACGGCCCCTGAGTAAAGATTTCCTAAAATTAAAAATAATAAAAATAAGCTAATAATCGCTCACTGGGGCGCCCTACAGGTTGCTTCATTGTTAGGGGCTTCTCTCGCCTGGTAGGGCGAATGCACTAGCCCAGGCTTTGTCTTGCTTCCTTGCCTCCTCTTTTTGTCAATTGGGCTCGTGATGCTCCTTGGCCCATCCAACGTCTCCCTCGGACTTAAAATTTCGGTCCAATGCTTCTAAAGCTAACCCGACTTGCTAAAGATGGTCACAAAGTCTCGGGTTCTCCTTCTTCGCCGAACCTTTAATCACCGGGCTCGTAACTCCTAGCTCGGTAATGGGGTTCGGACACCGGTCATATGTGTGCGCTTCATGTCCAATGCTCGTAGTGGCTAAGTAATCTGGGGAAATGCCAAAATCCGCAATTTCCTTTAAAACAATACCAAATTTATGAAAACACTAGAAAACGCATATTAGTAATAAAATAGCTCCAAAGAGTAAAAAATACTCCTAATTATGACCGAGGGACGGGGGTAAAACACTACATAAAATAGATTCATCACACTTCCCCAGTCAGTGCTCCAAATCATTTGGTGTAGTTTGTTGTGGTTGCTCCCCCTTGCTGTGGCTGCTCGCCTGCTCTGCCCTCTGCACTTCAGTGGTCTGGTTTTCTCTCTTTCTCCTAGTGTATGTGAGGATGACAAGTGGTGGCTGCTGTTGGCCTGTTGCTATATCACACAATTTTAGAGAGAGGAAGTAAGAGTGAGAAGCTTGGCTACTCTGCCTTTTTCCACCGCCTTTTCCAACCCAATGTCTTCCTTGCTTCTCTTTTCAGATGAAAGTTCTCATTGCTTTGAACGCCTCCTCCCTCCTTCAACCATGGCTGGTTGTGACTCTTGTGAGTAGTTTTGGGATTGCTCCTTCCTATTTGACGTTTGGAATCATATCCAAGCTGAGTTTTGGTTTCCCTCTAGGATTTAGCTTGTTCAATATATTATTAAGCTTTTATTTTTTTTTATTTTATTATTTTTTTCCCTTTCTTGCTTCTTGACCTAGCATCTCAAGATACCTTGACGGTTCTTTAGACCTACTTTGGAATTTGTGACGATACTTTTTGAAATGACAGCAAGTTTTTCATAGCTCTATTGACTTTGCCAACATTAATGATAATTATTCCTGAATTTGTAAGAAGTTTGATTTAGAATGTATATTTACGAGAAGGTTATTTTAATTCTTTTTAACATTTATTTTCAAGTTTGATGATCCAAGTTTCTCAAAGGAGTTGTATTTGTTCTTAACTAAGGTCTACGCAGTTTTTGCTGCTTCTATTCTCTGTACTAAGCTACGTGTAAAATTTTTATTTGTCTGATTTTAGTTTAATTTGCTTTGTACTGAAATTTAAGCAAAAATTTCTTGTTTTTTTTTTTTTTTTTTTTTTTTTTTTTTTTAATGAAAGGAAAAGTAGAAAAAAACTTTCATTTTATTGCTGGGGTAAGGCTGTGTACATACGACTCTCCCTTGCCTTAAAATGGGTGGAATATCTCTAGAGGTATTAGGGATTGTATATGTTTAGGCTGCTTTTGTAAAGGTCATTAATGACTTTTTTTTCAGCAATAAGTGATCATGAAGGTCATTAATATCTTTAATCCCCTTTTAATATTTGCAACAATTTTTCGCTCACGTTTTCTGTAACAGCTTGACTTAGGGCATTCTCTTAGATGTATGTATATTGATTAGTTTGAGAAAGCTTGACATAAATTAACATATCTGCTTTTATGGCAAGTATAGGCTTCAAGAGGGTAACAGAGATCCCCTTGATTCCCAAGTTGCAGTAAAGTAGTAGTTAAGAGAGAGAGATTGATATTGGATATTTTGCAGTTTGGTGCCTCCAACATGTAGCCGACCCCACTTATGGGATTAAGGCTTTGATTGATTGATTGGTGCCTCCAACATGCACATTCCTAAGTATTTTACTGAACCTGATGTATAAATAGGCCCTAGGGTGCAAATCATGGAGGTTGATTTGCTTGTTAGGTGTGTCAAGGTTGTTTCTAATTACTACCGGTATTTGTTTCCTGTTGTTCCACCATGTGGTAGCTCTTCTCGGCTTGTATGTATAGAAGCTATATTTTTGGTCTTTGCTTCTACTGCAGGCATCCAGAGCCAGGTTGTTCAAGGAATACAAAGAGGTGCAGCGAGAAAAAACTGCCGATCCAGATATTACACTTGTTTGTGATGACACCAACATATTTAAATGGACTGCTTTAATCAAGGTAAATGACATGCCATCAGCTCTGCTCTAATATTTTCTTGATGTTACTAAGCCATTGCTTTTGTTCAGGGCCCATCAGAAACTCCTTATGAGGGTGGTGTTTTCCAGCTTGCATTTGCAGTGCCTGAACAGTATCCTCTGCAACCTCCTCAAGTGCGATTTTTGACAAAAATCTTTCATCCTAATGTCCATTTCAAGGTAAGGAAACTTGGTTATTTGGTGTATAAGGTCTTTTTAGTGCTAAAGTGGGGAGGATTGACAACAGAATAAACATAATTTTTCAGTTTTTGTTATTATTATAGCTTATGCCAGTGATATGGCTCTACCATAGGCTTTTCTCTATTGAATGTTCCATTGATTAGTAATTTAGTGTTAAATTCACAACCATAGGCACACAAAAACACATAAGATCAAGGTGAGCAAGCAAGAGTTAGTATATGTGGTTTTGTAATTGTGTGACAGAAATGATTATTTCCATCATGCAGACTGGAGAGATTTGCTTGGACATCTTAAAAAATGCTTGGAGCCCTGCTTGGACATTGCAATCTGTGTGTAGAGCAATAATCGCTTTGATGGCTCATCCGGAAGCTGATAGCCCCTTAAACTGTGATTCAGGTTGATCCATTAGACCTTGATACTTTTATGCCATGCCGTGTATGCTGCTTTGTTTTTTTGCTGTCTAGATCTCCTTTATCTATGATTTAGCCATTGTAGGTAGGGATAGTAATTTGGGATGTCAGGATGTTTCATTGTTTTGGTTTCCCTAGTGTTTACTACTTTCTACATTATAAAGTAAAACCAACTCAATCTGAAGCAACCCTTCGCCTTTTAACTCTTCCAAGTTTATGGTTATCCAAACCTAAGATGCTACTTTCACGAGTTTTTTGTTGATACTCTCTAATAGCTCAATTTGACTATGATAGGCAATCTTCTACGATCTGGAGACTTAAGAGGATTCCAGTCCATGGCAAAGATGTATACAAGACTGGCAGCCATGCCAAAGAAAGGATAAGCTTAAGCATCCTCTTTGCTTGCATACTGTTATTGATAATCTGCGCAATGAAGAGAGAAGTTTATCCCCCACGTTGTATCTATGTGGCTTCATTGATTCTAAAGTTTCAACGAAAACTCTCTTATTTGAGTATATTATTATATGATTGTCCCAAGAGGCTTTCCCCTATTGGCTCTGCTTGTAGTTCCAAGGTCAAAAAGGATCAAAAAAAACTTTGCCAAACTCAATGTTAAATTGTAATCCTTCGTAAAAAAAATTTCCGATTTTTATTTTTTTGCCAAACCTAAACTGGATTGTTAAATATCGCCCGTAAATCTCTATATAAAACTCACAAATTTAGATAAATTGACACTTTTGCTTTTATATGTAACAAAAAAAAAAAAAAAAAAAAACTCACACTCTCATCTTCTATCTACTCTCTCATCACCTCTCTCTAAAAAATAAAATTCAAACTATAATGTCGAGGCGGCAAGGCAAAGAATTGGCGGCAACAAAAGCGGAGGAAAGGCGGTTATACAGTGGCAAGTTATTTTTTATTTGAAAAATAATAATAAAAAAAAAACCACAAAGCGGCGGGGTCGTCTGGCTGGGACGCCAGATCCACGGCGACGGAGCCCAAGCAAGTAGCCATTACCGTGGATCTAGCGTCCCAGCCACACGACAACCCCACGGCAGCGCAGGCTGGGCAGGACGCCAAAGCCACGGTGGCGGCGTCTTGTGTGGACCGCCGCCGTGGGGCTGGCGTCTAACAAGGACGTCAACTATTTTTTTTTTTTTTTTTTTTGGTATGTGTATATTTTTTTTTTCCGTTTTTTGTAATTTATTTTTAATTTTTTTTTCAGATTTTGTTTTATGTTTATATTTTTTTTTCAATTTTTTGTATATTTTGTTTTTAATTTTTTATTTATGTTTATATTTTTTTTTTGTTTATGTATATTTTCTTTTCAATTATTTGTATTTTTTTAGTTTATTTTTATATTTTTTTTTTCAATTATGTTGTATTTTTTTATTAATTTTTTTATGTTTATATTTATTTTTTGTATGTTTTTTCCCATTTGTATGTATTTTTTTTTGTTTATATTTTTTTTTTTCAGTTTTTTGTAATTTTTTCTTTATGTCAATTTGTTACTATTTTTTTTGTTTATTTGATATTTTTTTTGATTAGTTATTTCTATTTTTTGTTGTTTGTACTTAAAAAAATAGATTATTAATATAAATAATAATAATAATAATAACAATTGCTATTATTTTTCGTTATTTAAATGGAGCTAGGTATCGCATATTTGACCTGGTGCGGGGAAGAGTATAGAAGTAGAAACTACTCAATGAAAAGCTCGAAAATGCCTTGTAGGACGCATGACACATTAGAAGTAGAAAGCTTGGTATCGCATAAACATAATAACGTTATTAGAAGTAGAAACTACTCAATGAAAAGCTCGAGGCCCAGACACGTTAGATCCCGTGGTATTTCTACCTCGGCTCGCAGAGAACGAGTTCACTATCCTGAGAAGGATGAAGACGATGATGGTGATAAGGAAGAGGATGAGGAGGAGGAGGAGGAGGAGGACGTAGATGAGGATGTGGTGCTTGGGATGGACGATCAGAGTGGACCATATGATGATTACGGTCCATTCAGTCAGAGGCTTGATGATATGTATGAGACGCATAGGGTAGATGTGCGTAAGGGTAGAGATGGTAGATTTGTTAGTAGATCTGGCACATCATCTGCATCCACTGTGTCCGCGGTAAGCAGAAAACGGTCGAGGGCCGTTAATGATTCTTGGGTGGTGAGGGGTGAGGTGGTTGGGGGACCTGTAGATGGGAGTGTGATTCCTAGCTTTCTAGGACACATAGCTATCCGTATTTGGGAGGACTAGGAGAGGGCTTTGGATACGGGCATTTTGAAATGCCAAACTCGGGAAAAGACTTGTAACTTTTTGTGTAGATGGGCTGAGGCTTGGCCACCTTCTTGCCACCATGCACGATAAGATTGACTCAACGCTGATCACGGCTTTCGTTGAGCGATGGCAGCCGGATACGAACTCTTTCCACCTTCCGTTCGGTGAGATGACAATCATGTTGCATGACGTCGAGGCCATCCTTGAGATTCGCGCAGAAGGAAAACGACTTTCTGTTGTGACTGATGCGGATCAAATAGATTTAGAAGCGAAGTTGTTGGGGGTGGACAGGGCTGCGCTGTACACCGGGGCGCTTGGTGTTTGGGATCACGATGGTGTAAAGATCGCATCCGTTTTGCAGTGTTGTTTGCACCTCACTGCATGTAGGACGCATGACACACAACTGGCTGCATATGTTTTTCTTCTCCTCGGGTGTACCTTGTTTCCGGATAAAAGCGGAAACAAGCTCAGGCCACGCGGCAGAGTTGACGCGTGTGATCCTGACAAAGTAGGCCAATTTTCTTGGGGGTCGCCAATTAGGATTCTCGAGTCGGGCTAACGTGACAAGTATCACTGGATGTCTGACTTTATTACAGACCTGGATATACAAGTATTTTCCTGCATTTCGACCACACCGCGACCCGATTCCTATTGGTGATGGGATGCCACGTGCCTGTGCGTGGAGTTTGCGGTTCGGGAAGAAGCCTGTTGACCGCCTCCGATCGATACGGTTATTGCTTGACAGGATGTTCCATTTAGAGGTAAAGTGTATAAATTATTTCTAATTTATATTGTGATGCATTTATTATATGAATCTTACTAATTTGGAAAAATGTGCAAGTGAACTGGATGCCTTTCGTCCAGAACCTTAGTAATAGGGTACCCAGGACCCTCTACACGGGACTGATTCAGTATCGTGAGATCGTAGAGGCGTACATGCCCTAGCGCTGTCTTCGGCAGCTTGGATTTGTCCAAATTGTCCCTCCTCCACCAGCATGGCCCAGTAAGGCGGTCCGATCTGCGTCGTCGAAGGAGTACGTTGTCCAATGGCCGGAAAGCAAAATTGCCACGTGGGACCAGTTTTCGATGGTTTCCCATCTATGGACTACGGAGTTGCAGAGGCCGCCAACTGGGGTGCCTCCCATGTGTGACCACCACTACATGGAATGGTACAGTCGGTATTTGCACCCGAGGTTGATCAAAGACCTCCACCATGGCGACGACGCCGATGATGATGATGTGCCACCGCCCAGTGTCGTGGATGCAGTATGTCTTATAAAACATTTATTGTTGTGTGTGTGTGTTTTTTTTTAATATTTTTTTTATTCTTATATATCGTTGTTGAATTTCATGTTTTTTTGTTGTGTGTAGTGGATGGGAAAGATGATGCAGCTGGGACAAAGACTCTTTCAGGAGAGGGACAACATGACGACTGCATCAGGCAGAGTTGTTATTTATGATATGGAACGGACCCTTGCGCAGTAGGAGCGGGCGTCAAAGAGGGATTACTGATATGTTGGCAGTTTATTTATAGAACATTTTGTACATTATCATAGTAGTTTGTAAAATCTGACATTATCGTTTAAGTTTGTAATATTTGACATGATCATTTTTGTTTGTAAAATTTGACATTATCTTTTTAGTTTGTAACGCGCAAATACTAATTAGTATGCATGCAAGATATGAATTTAGTCAAAATTAGAATACAAAAAAAAAGGAATAAAAATAGCAATACAAATACAAGGTTACATAGAAAAGGTATACGCATGAAAAAGTAAAAGACAGCTAGGTTGTTCCAATGACGCATCCGGTCATGATACAACACATCCCAACCCTCTACGCTTGGTTTGCGAATGGTGTACCACCGAGGTATGATCGGTGGCACCGGAAAATCGGATGACAGGTTCAATTGGATGAAATGTCTATATGACGACCCCAGAAATGCAATAGCAAACTCTCTTACCGGTTTGGTGACGGTCGCATGAGAATACCAAGGGAGAACCGTGCAACATGGATAATAAGCTCGACTATGCAAACCAAGCCCGAAATGCATGACTGCTCACTTGTAGATGTTTGCAACGGCAAAGAGATCAAGTGGCGCGTCGAACCAATGATTTTTACCACAAGGTCCTCCTCCCCACCGGATACGCTGAAGAGAACTATCCAAGCCTTTGTCGTACACATGACAATAACACCTCGGTTTGCGGCAATTTCATTGTACATCAACTGACGCACTAAAGCGTAGTTATCTTCACCCATCTAAAACACATCAGCCACGACCCGGAATCCACAGTTACCATCTGTAAACACATCATTCCACCCGTCCAAGTATTCCATGATGATGTTAGGGATCCTGTCCATATATGGAAACTCATCAATATCCACTCTTCCTGTTGCACATATCACACATTTAACAAGTCAGCAGTAAACTAAACAAACATTCTAAATAGTAAAGTAAATTAAAGTAAAGTATTGTACTAGTTTCGGGCATGTTCACCGACGAAGAAGATCGGCCACGACCAGACGAACGACTAGATGACGATGAATGACCACGACCACGAATGTACTCAAACGCACTCTTGTTCCGCCGTGGTTATTGACCTCTAGGTCGCTCGACCCCTTCAAGTTCCTCGTGATCCAAGCATTACGTGTTGAACATGTTATGAAGTACGTGGGTAACATCACGAATGATTGAAGGGTGACTGAGGACACTCGGTCAAACATCGAACGAAACTGCTCCAACTCCTCTTGTTCACGGTCGACCGTCTGTGGAGCAACATGCTCTCCAACAACGAGCGTCCGCCAGAATGGGTGAACCTGATCAACATGTAACGACACCCTATCTTGCGTAATTACACGGTGAATGGTGCATACACAAGGTAGTCCATGAGTCACTGATATAGCACATCCGCACCGAATAGCCACTTTATCACCTAACTCCTCCATCCTGTTGTGCTCGCTCAGAATCAACCCCAAGCAGTAGTGTGACACACGACCATGGAGAATCTTAAATATGAAATGGAAATACATCATACCATGTCGCCTTCTAGAGTCCTTGAGAGAGTTCTTGATGATATTCTTCTGAGTATCAATAGCCTTGTTTATTGTCTCAAACAGTGTATCCAGAGCAGAGGTGGAAGAATCAGTCCTGTCCTTCAAAGCTTTATGAGTGCTCTCAACTCTACATGTAGTAGTGTTTCCAAAATGAAAAACTTGGTTTGTCCAATATTTGACAAACTTTTCCCTGTGAGGTATCCACTGTTGCATCACATAGTTTACCACTGCCGGACATCATTGGTATGCATCCTTGAAGTTATCCAAGGCTCGATTGTACTCTGCCTTTGTGGTAGCTTGCAGGATCTTCAGCCACTTACCATTTAGCAA